CCTTGCCTTTTCTAGAGCTGCATTCTGTGGCTCACGGTCCCCTTCTCCATTACTAAAGCCAAGGTCATGACATTTTCAAATCTCTCTCTGCTTCCATCTTCACATGGCCTTCTGTCTTCTGTAGGAAGCCTCCCTCTGCCTCCCTCTTAAAATGACACTTGCGACTGTGTTTAGGGCCCACTCAGATAATCCAGATACTCTCTCCCCAGCTCAAAAACCTTCACTTAATCACACTGGCAAAGTTTCTTTAGCCATATAACATATTCTTTAGCCATATAACATATAACATCCACAAATTTGAGGGATTATGATCTGGACATTTTGAGAGTCCCTTGGGCTGCAAGGAGATCAAACCAGTCCATCCTAAAGGAAATCAACCCTGAATATACATTGGAAGGACTGATGCTGAAGCTGAAGCTCCAATACTCTGGCCACCTAATGTAAAGAGTCGACTCACTGGAAAAGATCCTGATGCTGGGAAAGATTGAGGGGAGAGGAGAAGGGGACGACCGAGGAGATGAGAGGGTTGGATGGCATCACTGATTCGATGGACATGGGGTCGCCAAGAGCTAGACATGACTGAGCAACTGAACAACAATGTCTTTAGGGGCCATTATTTAGCCTCCCACAGCCTCAAAGTATCTCCCCAGAATATCATGTAAATACAAAATGAAAATAATTAGCTTACAGTGGAAAACCTCGTAGGAACCACTTAGACCAGGTGATCAAGGTATCGTTAGCAATTTGGACATCATGTACCTCTGCAGAAGGATACAGCATCATGCCTGTCCTATTCTTTCCAAAAAGGCATAACCTCATCCCACTCATAAGAGAACATGAAACAAACTCCAGTTCAGGCAGAGTCTGAGAAATGTCTGACCAGCGCTCCTCAGAAGTATCAAGGTCACGGAAGACAAGAGTCTGAGGATCTGCCCCAGTGGGGAGATTAAGGAAATGCGCAACTAGATGCAAGGTGGGGTCCGCACTGCATCCTGGAACCAAAAAACGGACATCTGGCGGAAAACTGATGAAATCCAAATAAAACCCAATAGTTTAATCAATAATGTTACACGATGTTCCATTCTGATTTTCGTTAAGTGTTGTGTGATTTCTTGGGCTTCCCTGGTAGCTCAGCTGGTAAAGAATCTGCCTGCAATGCAGGAGACCTGGGTTCGATTCCTGGGTCAGGAAAATCCCTTGGAGAAGGGATAGGCTACCCACTCCAGTATTCTTGGGATTCCCTGGTAGCTCAGCTGGTAAAGAATCTGCCCGCAATGCGGGAGACCTGGGTTCGATCCCTGGGTCAGGAAGATCCCCTAGAAAAGTAAATGGCAACCCACTCTGGTATTCTTGCCTGGAGAATCCTCATGGACAGAGAAGCTGGAGGGCGACAGCCCATGGGAACGCAGAGTCAGACATGACTAAGCGACCAAGCACAGCTGTGGTTTCTTAAGAAGTCAGCGTAAGGGGAAACTGGGTGAAGCCTACACAGGAACTTATTTAAGTCTCAGACAAACAGAAAACAAGGCATTTTAAAAAGAGGACAACGGGAATGACGGAATTAGGGAGGAAGGCAAGGAGGGAGGGAAAAGGAGTGAAACCAGCAAGAAGGGGACCCCTTCACTTAGGATCTTGGGGCGCCCTCTGCTGGTCACTAGGCTGAACATCGATGGCACCCCCCCAATGCTGGACTTCGTTATTACACAAAGTAACTGTCCTTTTCTTTCCAGTTGTTGCCCTGCTCTGAAACACTTTTCTCAAAGCCAGGGTACCCTGCTCCTACTGATTTATGGTTTCTTTCTTCCTCTAAAAACCCATCAAAGCCTCACTGTTCACCGAATCTTTCTTTTCTCTAAACAAAATTTTAGTTGTTCAGTGGCTCAGTCGTCAGACTCTTTGCAAGCCTACAGACTGCAGCATGCAGGCTTCCTTGTCCTTCACTATCTCCCAGAGTTTGCTCAAGTTCATTGAGTCAGTGATGCTATCCAATCCTCTCATCCTCTGTCATCCCCCTCTCCTCCTGCCTTCAATCTTTCCCAGCATCAGGGTCTTTTCCAATGAACTGGCTCTTCACATCAGGCGGCCAAAGGGTTGGAGCTTCAGTTTCAGCATCAGTCCTTCCAATGAACATTCAGGGTTGATCTCCTTTAAGGCTGACTGGTTTGATCCCCTTGCAGTCCAAGTGATTCTCGAGTCTTCTCCAACACCACAATTCCAAAGTATCAATTCTTCAGCCTTCTTTATGGTCCAAGTTCACATCTATACATGACTACTGGAAAAACCATAGCTCTGACTATATGCACCTTTGTTGGCAAAGTGATGTCTCTGCTTTTTAATATGAAATTAAAAGTGTCTTTTAATTTCATGGCCATCGTCACCATCTGCACAAGAAAAGAAAATCTGTCACTGCTTCCACTTTTTCCCCTTCTATTTGCCATGAAGTGATGGGACCAGATGCCATGATCTTAGTTTTCTGAATGTTGAGCTTTAAGCCAGCTTGTTCACTCTCCTTTTTCACCTTTATGAAGACACTCTTCAGTTCCTCTTCACTTTCTGTCATTAGAGCAATACCATCTGCATATCTGCGGTTGTTGATATTTCTGCCCACAATCTTGATTCCAGCTTGTGCTTCATCCAGCCGTGCATTTCACATGATGTACTCTGCATATAAGTTAAATAGAGTAACAATACAAAGCCTTCTCTTACTCCTTTCTCAACTTTGAACCAGTCCATTGTTCCAGGTCCAGTTCCGTTGCTTCTTGACCTACATACAGGTTTCTCAGGAAACAGATAAGGTGGTCTGGTATTCCCATCTCTAAGAATTTTCTGATTTGTTGTGATCCACACAGTCAAAGGCTTTACCACAGTCAATGAAGTAGAAGTAGATTTTTTCTGGAATTCCCTTGCTTTCTCTATGATCCAAGAAATGTTGGCAATTTGATCTCTGGTTCCAGTGCCTTTTCTAAATCAAGATGTACACGTGGAAGTCCTCAGTTTATGTACTGTTAGAAGCCTAGCTTGAAGGATTTTGAGCATAACCTTACCAGCAAGCAGATTGAGGGCAATCATATAGTAGTTTGATCATTCTTTGGCATTGCCTCTCTTTGGGACTGGAATGAAAACTGAACTTTTCCAGTCCTGTGGCAACTGCTGAGTTTTCCAAATTTGCTGACACATTGAGTGCGGCACTTTCACAGCATCATCTTTTAGGATTTGAAGTAGCTCAGCTGGAATTCCATCACCTCCACTAGCTCCGTCTGTAGTAATACTTCCTAAGGCCCACTTGCCTTCACACTCACTTCACTAGGCAAGTGACCACACCACTGCAGTTATCCAGGGCATTAACATCTTTTTTGTACAGTTCTTTTGTGTATTCCTGCCACCTCTTCTTAATCTGTTCTGCTTCTGTTAGGTACTTACCATTTCTGCCCTTTATTTTGCCCATCCTTACATGGAATATTCCCTTGATCTCTCCAGTTTTCTTGAAGAGATCTCTAGTCCTTCCCATCCTATTGTTTTTCCCTACTTCTTTGCACTGTTCATTTAAGGCCTTCCTATTTCTCCTTGCACAAAGCCACGACCACTTCCTGGCTGAACTCTAAGACCAGTCAGGTGCAAGCAAACCATCTAAAAGCTCCTCCCACCGACCATCCCACTGGACAACTGGGGACATCACAGGGTCACAGGCACCCATCCAAGCCAGGGTTCCCTGCTCCTACTGATTTGTGATTTCTTTCGTCTTCTAAAAACCCATCAAAAGCCTCACTAGTGACTGAATCTAGTGAGCTAGACAACCAGGGCTGTGGAACAGAGGGTCAGACGTGTTGGTGGGTCAGAGCCTCCAGAAATGACAGATGTGAGTGTGTAAGGGACACAGTACTCTGGGGGATATCATGCTTACTAACATCTCGACTGTGGAATGGAAGGCCTGGCCAATAAAACGCAAGCAATTTTCATTCATGATGTTTCACATTTGCATCCTCTAATATTAGGAACTCACTGGGTTCAAGTAAATCGAATACAGCTCTTCATGAGAAAAGATGGGGATTTCTTGTGGCAACTGACAGTGAACACCAGAAATACAGACTGGCAGGGTCCTGCCTGCATTGAGACCACAAGTTTTATTTAGCCCACACAATTTTTTTTTTTTAAGTTTTTAACGGGATGCCAATGTTTTGAAATCTGGAAATGCACATTCAAAAATTAAAAGACTTCAGGTTTTTGATGAATAAAAAACCTTCTGACCTGGCTGTGTTGGGTCCACACTGTTGCCTATCGGCCCCGTGTAGGAACCGAGAGGCTGCCGCTCTAGACGGTCCCTGCTCTGCAGTTCCTCCCCACCACTTACACAAGCTGTGCGTGTGGCCGATACTCACAATGGCGCGTTCACGTGTATTCCACACCGCATCCTTGTGGCACTAGTGCTTGCACTCTCTGCTTTGTGGGATACCACATACAAGCTTTCAACAGCTAAAAGGACCTCACCTTCCCTCTGCACTTGATCTGAGCCAAAGGGCTGACCACCTTCCAATACATAAGCTCCTTAATAATGTTCATCCCTGGGACTTCCCTGGTGGTCCAGTGGCTAAGACTCTGAGCTCCCAATACAAGGGGCCCAGGATCGATCCTTGGTGAGAGAACTAGATCCCACATGCCACAACTAAGAGTTCACATGCCTCAGTTAAGACCCGACAAAGCCAAATAAATAAATTTAAAAAAAAATAATGCTCATCTTTCTTTTATACAAGTGACTATAGCTCATTATAACTATTCTGCAAAAAACAAAACACATATATTTCATCTTCTACATTTCATCCTTTTACTCTTAATGATATCCTGGACCACTGGATCAGAATCACCTGGAAGGGTTGTTAAAACACAAACCACGCCCGGTAGTAACCAGGGCAAATTAAAGGGGGGCTTTATATCTTCAGGGAAACTACAGATTCTCAACACACTGAGCAAGAAAACAACAAATCATCACATTCGCTCCTCTTTACCTTTTACATTCCTGGGGATCACAGTCACCCAATCAGGTCCACTGGAGTTGATTGGCATTTTGATATTGACACCACTTGAAAGAGGAATAAAAAGAGTACAAGCTCAAATTTATTTAATTTAAGGAATTAATTTATTTTAAATTTAGGAACATTTATTTTTCAACATGCATCTTTATTTGCAAATTTTTAAATAGATGGGATTTCAAAGAGCTTTATATCCTTACAAATGCTAATTCATAAAACTGATAATTAATAAACTAGGTATCTTATAATAAGCAGGTTATACGGACACATAAACTGAATAAGAATTAAACAGGTTCTTAATTTTTCACTGCTTCACCCTTAGGTTGCAAACTCCAAAATAACAGATTCTATTTGAATCACTTAATCCCTTAGGCTCAGAGAATGGCTCACACCGATGACCATGTCTACTGTGTCACTACTTGGTTTTCAGGCTACAAGACTATGGAGCATTAAGTCAGATCCCTTAGGCCTTGCCTAGAGAGGAATCCTAACTGGGGACTCATCCATCCCTCAAACGATCAACGTCAATCTTTCTTTTTTTTTTTTTTAGTTAGCCTAATGCAAAATTTCAGATTTTTAACGGAGTAAAAATGCAAAAATTAAAATCTATACCAGGATTCTGTCAAATGTTTTGTTTTAAAAAAACCTATGCCACTTCAAACACTTTCCCAGCAAACTTCTAAGTAAGTAGAATTTTTTATGTGATTCTACTACAGATCTGGCTGGTTCTACTGTATCAGCCAGCCTCATCCAGGATATGCAAGTAAAGGCAAGGACAGACATTATTTTATCCTTCTGGATTCACAGGTGTCTTCTGGTTTTAATAACAGGATTTGGTGTTAGGAACATCTAAAAATTTTTACACTAACTTAGTTCTCTAAACTCTTCCCCACTTTTTTTCCACGTGGCATTTCAGTAAATTACATGCTATGCTTCTTCCACTCTGCTAAGCCCCTAGGTAGACTGACAACAGTTCTCTAAACTCTTCCCCACTTTTTTTCCACGTGGCATTCCAGTAAATTACATGCTATGCTTCTTCCACTCTGCTAAGCCCCTAGGTAGACTGACAACATGCTCCTAAAAGGGGGTAACTGGACACTCTTCATACAGAGGCAAAAAGTACACAGAAATAAAATAATCTGCGCATGGTGAGTGTAAACGCTAAGTCTGACTCTGTGCAATTCTATAAACTGTAGCCCACCAGGCTCCTCTTTCCATGGGATTCTCCAGGCAAGAACACTGGAGTGGGTTTTTACGTCCTCCTTCAGATGTTCCCAACCCAGGGATCAAACCTACATCTCTTATGTCTCCTGCGTTGGTGGGTAGGTTCTTTACCACTAGTGCCACCTGGGAAGTCCTATTGATAAATAATGTGCCTAATTAAAGAATAAAACCAAAGACCTTTTGTATTGAGCTACACATACACACCAAAAAAAAAAAAAAAAAAAAACCCCTAGGAAGACTAATACAGTAAATATACCGGGAGCAGTGCGCCCTCTGCTGGGCTTCTGAAAGCATGGCATGGGTCTAGCAAACACTTCTGCCACCAAAAGCTGACGGTGGGAAAAACAAAAAATCAGAACTTTATTTTTGAAGCTGCTACAGACTACATGGGCTTCCCAGGTGGCTCAGTGGTAAAGAATCTGCCTGCCAACGCAGGAGATACAGGAGATGTGGGTTCGATTCCTGGTCGGGAAGATCCCCTGGAGGGCATGGCAATCAACTCCAGTATTCTTGCCGAGTCCCACGGACAGAGGAACCTGGCAGGCTACAGTTCACGGGGTCACAAAATAGTTGGATACCACTTAGCAACTAAAATAACAACAACCATCTCTACAAGGGAATATTTTTAAAGTATATATCATTTAAAAATAAAAAGCATTTTACATTCTTTCAAATAATTATACTTTCTGACTATGCAATTTTTCTACCTTTTTAATTTCTTAGGAATGTTGTTTTATTTTAGGCACTAGTGATAAAGAACCAGCCTGTCAATGCAGGAGACGTAAGAGACTCGAGTTCGATCCCTGGCTCAGGAAGATCCCCTGGAGGAGGGCATGGCAACCCACTCCAGTGTTCCTGCCTGGAGAATCCCATGGACAGAAGAGCCTGGGGGGCTACAGTCCTGTCTATAGGGTCGCAAAGAGTCGGACACGACTGAAGCGACAGAGCATGCACATACACACGCATGTAATGTTGAAGAAAATGGAAATTTTACCCCATACTGGTTCTATATACTTCCTTCTGCATATTATGCCATATATTGATCATTATTCTGAAAAAGTTTCATACCTATGTTCAAAAATAGGAATATGTGCTCAATAATGCAAAAATTTCAATAGCTATTACCTTGAAAAATACAATTCGCTGTGATATTCCTGGTTTCCCATCAGTTCAGTTCAGTTCAGTAGTGCAGTCGTGTCCAGCTCTTTTTGACCCCATGGACTACAGCACACCAGGCTTCCCTGTTCATCACCGACTCCTGGAAATGGCTCAAACTCATGTCCACTGAGTCGGTGATGCCATCCAAACGTCTCATCCTTGGTCATCCCTTTCTCCTCCTGCCTTCAATCTTCATGCTTATCATTAAATCAGTCCAGCAATGTTACCATATTCCTACCTTTTCCTATCAATAAATGTTTATATGATTTTAATAACCAATAATGTGACACTTAAGACTTTTTTCAGTTTCTGAGACATGAAGCTTAAACATTAGCTTGACTGTAAGACCTCCAGTAGCCCTGTTCTTAGATGATTTTTTTATGTTCTGTGAAAAAGTGATCTTGCTTGTACAGCTACAGACATGCTATGCAGTTCTGAAGTAAAAGATGTTAAGGTAAAAGAACAAAGATTTAAGGTATTTAATTTGAACTGAAATAAGCACATGTGTGTATGTGTATTAGTCACTCAGTCATGTCTCTCTGCAATCCCATGGACTGTAGCCCGCCAGGCTCCTCTGTCCATGTGATTCTCCAGGCAAGAATACTGGAGTGGGGAGCCATTCTCTTCTCCAAGGGATCTTCCCAACCCAGGGATTGAACCCAGGTCTCCTGCATTGCAGGCGGATTCCTTACCATCTGAGCCACCAAGGAAGTCCGTGAAATAAACATACTAATCACAAAATATCAGTCTTTATTTTCTTACCACCGCTTCTGAATTGGGCCAAGTTTGAGAGAGATGTAAGAAGCACATAACCAAAATAAGAAAAGTCTCCTAAGTGGGACAAAGACAGTGGGAAGGGACTCTTCACTCCCCACCTAGGACAAGGAGCACATACCTCTGGAAGAAAGCATTCTCTGGAGCAGTGAGGAGGCCCTTCAGGTATCCACCTTTGAAATGGTTAATTCTGCTGCTGCAAGGGAGCTTCTTTGGTTTGACGCAGAACCAGGGTTCCCCAGTGTAGAGGTCTGTGAAGTTGCAGAGGGGAAGATTCCCAGGAAGACACACGTTACACTCCGTAGTTTCAGAAATCCTCCCTGACCGGAAGAGGCTCTTGAAATAGACCCTATCTGGTTTCTTTTCCTGCAGGTTCTGAAGAACTCGGATCCCTTCGCTGGGGTGGACCAGAGATATGGACACTTTAACTTGACCTGGCCAGAGCAGAGTGAAAAAGACCTTGTAAAACCCATTCTGGTAGTCCACCACTCTGCCCACGGCCCCCGCCTGGAGCCTAGGGGAGTGGATTCTGGCCTGCAGGTAGTCTCCGCCATATTTCTTGGGCTTTCTTTGAAAATCCTGCACATGAACCAGCACCTCCAGCTGGCTTCCCACCCTGAAGAAGGCTGCAGAGTTCAAGATGACAAAATAGCTGGAAGAAGGATCGGTGCTCTTCAGAAAGGGGACTGGGCCCACGTCCGGCTCCCGCCACTGCAGGGCGGCCAACAAGGAGTCCTCCTCCAGGCGCTCCCGGCTGGACAGGACCTGGCGCTCATAGCCGCAGTAAGGATTCCGGCTGGTTCTCACCACCTGGGAGGACGCGAACTGCCCAGCACTGTCTATGAACGTGGCTGAAGCGGTCTCGTGGTCCAAGTACTGCAGAGAAAAACGCAAACAACAGAAACCACAGCTATCACAAATCTCCTTACGCCAGCCAGATAAATCCCTGCTTCAGTTTAAATGTTAATAAAGCTTACTAGGAAAAAAAAACTTTATTGGGATGACATTGTTTCAAAAAAAACCACAGCTCACCAGTTTTATAAGGGTCTCACAGCAAATATCAAGAGAAAAATCCCTTTGGTGCTTCCAGAAGGAGACGGGGGAAAGGAATCATTCTGAAGTACAGAAGTTTTCTTGTATCCTCAGGGGATATGTCCAAGACCCCCCAGTGGATGCCTGAAACTGTGGGTCATACCAAACTCCGTATATACTGCTTTTTCCTATACATATATACCTATGATAAAGCTTAATTTATAAATTAGGCACAGTAAGAGTGGGTAGCTATTCCCTTCTCCAGTAGATCTTCCCAATCCAGGGATTGAACCTGGGTCTCCCACATGGCAGGCAGATTCTTTACCATCTGAGTCCCTAGGGAAGCTCTGAACAATGATAACTAATAATAATTATAAAACTAATAATTATAATAATTTGCTGTAATAAAAGTTACATGAATGTGGTTTTTCTCTCTCTCTCAAACTATCCAATCGTGGTGTACTTTTCCGTCTTCTCATGATGAGGTAAAAGGTTAAAATCCCTACGAGATGAGAGGAGGTGAGGTGAAGGACAAAAGCAGTGTGATGCAGCGTCAGGCTACTTCTGACCTTCTGACGATAATAACGTCAGAAGGAGGGTCATCTGCTTCACGTGATCCTGTACTGAGCCAGGATGATGTCAGTGGTTGAGGATGCTGGGTGGGAGAGAGCAGGACGGCACAAGAGCTTATCATGCAACTCAGGACAATGCACAATTTCAAATGGGTAAGTTGTTTATTTCTGGAATTCTTCCATTTAATATTTTCGGATCACAGTTAACCAGGGGTAACTGAAACCACAGAAGGTGACACTGTGGATGAGGCACTACTGTATGTCAGAGGATTCTATTCTTTTTTTTTTAACAAGGCCTGCCCTCAAGAAAAACTATTTTACCAGAGCCTAACCTACTGGGGTTTTATCAGAGCCTAACCAAACTGAGGTAAAGGACATACCCAACACCAGTCCATTCTAAACATTCCATCCAATTTAAGAGTTGGTGGGGGAGTGGGGGGCTGAGACTAAGAAGCAGCTCTGAAGTTCACAGACTCATTACAGGACTGAGGATCACAGGACTATAAGATGCTTCACTTCCCCCACATTTCATCTCTACATCGTGAAAAGTCTATTTCCTGGAGTTCCTTGTAGGCAGTAACTCCTGTCCAGCTTTCAGCAAAAAATTACAAGACATACTAAAAGGAAAAAAAAAAAAACAGTTTGAAAACACAGATCAAGCATCAGAACCAGACTGAAAAATGACAAGAATGTTGGAATTATCAGACCATGAATTTGAAACAACTATGTTGTAAATCAATGGCTAATTCATTTCAATGTATGACAAAAACCACTGCAATGTTGTAAAGTAATTAGCCTCCAACTAACAAAAATAAATGGAAAAAATAAATAAATAAAAACAGGACAAGACAAAAAAAAACAACAACTATGATTAATATGCTAAGGGGCTCTAACTGAAAAAGCAAGCAACGTGCAAGAAATAATGGGCAAGGTAAAGAAAGAGGTGAAAATCCCAAGCAGGAATCAAAAACCAAAAAAAAAGCCAGACAGAGCAGAGAGGATTTTTAAGTAAGGAAAAATGCTCTAGCTGAAATTATAATGACTGGCAAACATCCTTATACATTTGTCCAAACTGATAGAATGTATAACATAAAGAGTGAATCCAGAAGATATTAAGAGAGAGGTGGCAAGAATATACAGAAGAACTATACAAAAAAGATCTTCACAACCCAGATAATCATGATGGATGTCACCTAGAGCCAGACATCCTGGGATGTGAAGTCAGGTGGGCCTTAGAAAGCATCACCATGAACAAAGCTAGTGGAGGTGATGGAATTCCAGTTGAGCTATTTCAAATCCTGAAAGATGATGCTATGAAAGTGCTGCACTCAATATGCCAGCAAATTTGGAAAACTCAGCAGTGGCCACAGGACTGGAAAAGGTCAGTTTTCATTCCAATCCCAAAGAAAGGCAATCCCAAAGAATGCTCAAACTACCGCACAAT